TAATTCAGTGGCACACACAGCGGTGAGCTGTAGCACTTGTCAGTCAACAGAGCTACGGTTCCAACTTTAAGCCTTAGAAAAGTCAAACAAATAAGTAAAGTGGAAAAAAAATCACCATCACACACACATACAATTGTAATGAAGTGTCCACACACATAGCGGTGTGTGGCTGGTTTCAGCTCACAGGGATTAATCATAATAGATGCCTTTTAAATCTCTCAGGCTAAATTGTTTTGGATCATTACTGAACAGTTCAATAAATGTAAAAATCACATTGGCAAATATATCCAAGGTAAAGTTTAAAGAGAAGTGAATGAGTTCATAAGCAGTCGGCTGTCTACACATCCAGCGGAGCAACAGTTAGTATTTTTGTGGAGTTGTTTCCTGCCCACCTGATCAGCGTGGCTCTAATTTCTACTCCCTTACCCTCTAACCGGCTTTCAGCTGCTGAGTACTCCACTCTGTTACTCCACAGCGGCGTGACTGTGCTGTAAAAGCAGTCTTAGTGAACTAGGTGCTGAAGTTATGAGATGCTGTCGAAGCTGTGTGACTCATGCTCTCCACCTGCTAATATTGATCATTGCAGCTTTAAGGATATAAGGGACCAAATGGCTGAAATGTCAGTTTTGTATTGTTTCAAGTATTTTTCTTCTTCTTGGATTATTTTAAAGAGCACTGCTGATATTTAAATCCAACCTGCTCTGTTATTAATATATAGTTACACTTAATGCTTGTTGAACCTGTTCTGCCAATCTCAGCCATAGTTCCTGAGTATTGTCTGTATTATTATATCTCACTGTGTGTTATAACCTTCAGTACATCTAACTCCACACCCCCCCACCCCTTCTCTCCACCCTCAGGCAGCCCATACCCCTGTTGCCCCGGTGGGCAGCCCCGTGGGCAGCTCTCTCAGCCTGATCCCGGAGGACGGGCTCCCTCCCATCCTCATCTCCACCGGAGTCAAAGGAGGTACGGGAGGCCACATCACAGGTGCTTGCCCTCATCCCCACCGTTCTGCTGCCTCCTCATTGCTCCGTCAGCTGCCGTTTTTGTGCTTTTCTTAAATGTTGTTTCTCTCGTGCTTATACCGTCACCGCTCATGTTTCGACCACTCATTGCTAAGAGGGGGCGGGAGGGTGGGTTTGAACACGGTAATGCTGTGGTTATAAGTGATTGCTTGGGAGAGTTTTTAGCTGCTTCCTAATTTGATTTTGTACTCATTTTACCATCTTCAACCCTCTCCTCCTCTCTCTTGACTCTCATTCTGACATCACCGTCTCTCATTCTCCGTTCCTCTCATTTATCTTAACTTTGCCTTGACTCCTCCCGCTACCTGTTTCTTCTTCTACTCCGCTCCGACCACCTGCAGATTACGCAGTGGAGGAGAGGCCGTCGGAGATCGTCCTCATGCAACAGCTGGAGGAGGGGGGCCCAGACCCACTGGTCTTCGTGCTCAACGCGAACCTGCTCGCCATGGTCAAGCTTGTCAACTGTGAGTTAAAGCACTGTTCTGGGGGGAGGGTTTTTGGGGTTTTTTAAAAGAAGAAGAGCAGCAGTGAGCGTAGAGTCAGACTTCTAAATTAATAATTTTTTGATGACAAAAGGGAAAAAGGCAAAATACATATTTGGACTATATACATTTTTTATGATGGCTGATTTTAGCTCTCTTTTTTTTTCTTTTCTTGTGAATTACTGAGTAGCCATGCTCAAACATGCTCAAATGCCTGAGGAGTTAGGACGTAGAATATGTACTGCCTGGTTCACTTACTGTATCTGTTAAAGTAACAGCTTTTTGTCATTCACACACACGGCTCGGTTACACAGATGTTCATTATGCATTCATTCAGACATTCCTGAAAGAGCTGCCACGCTAATGCAGTGTGTGGCGTATAAGAAGAAATGCCACAATACTACTGAATAATACTCACAAATGTGTATCACAAATCATGATTTATAAATGTTGTCTCATACCATTTGTCTCATACATCAATACTTTGCATTATGTATGACAGTTTTAAAAGTCTGGATTGCAGAGTTTCTGGGTTAAGCCAATGAGGAGCGCCTTTATAATAATAATAATGGATTGCGTTTATATAGTACTTTTCCAATATTCATTCACTCTTACATTCACACACTGTTGGAGGCAAGCTACAGTTGTAGCCACAGCTGCCTTGGGGCAGACTGACAGAAACGAGGCTGCCATATCTCGCCATCGGACCCTCTGGCCAACACCAGTAGGCGGTAGGTGAAGTGTCTTGCCCAAGGACACAACGACCAAGACAGACAGAGCAGGGGATCGAACCGGTAACCTTCTGGTTAGAAGATGAGCTTCTCAACCCCCTGAACCACATTCTCTAAAATGACCAGGAGGGGGCAACACCTGTGGTGGCCCCCCTACTGACAGCTTTCACGTTAGGGTTGTGGTGTTTGTAAAACGTGTTATGAATATGTTGTTCGGCCTGACTGTATGTGGTGGTTCTTCTGATTTTCTTTTTAATGGATTATTATTCATATAAAACATGTTAGATCACTTCCGTAAAGGGGCCTCTAATGTAACTGTGCCCTGACACGTTTTCCCTCTAACCCCACAGACGTAAACAGGAAGTGCTGGTACGTGACGACTAAAGGGATGCATGCCGTCGGCCAGGCCGAGGTCGTCATTCTCCTCCAGTGTCTGCCAGATGAGAAGACCATCCCCAAAGACATCTTCACCCACTTTGTGCAGCTCTACCAGGAGGCCCTCAGTGGTAAGAACAACATTAGCAGCTCCACCAGGAGGCTCTCATTTCCACCTGCACCGTGGAGCCACTCATTGGCGGTTCTGTCTAGAGTCCACAGGTGGGGTGTCTCAGTCGGGGGCCTGCCCTGTTAAAAATGAGCAAACTCTAAATGTAGTGCACAAGAGGAAAATGTCTGAGCTCTACTTTTTGCTTCATAGAGACCACAGGTGCGCCCAGTCGAGCTCAATTTGGAAATCGGGTTACCGTCCAACACTGCTGTGTCTGGTTCATGAAAAATGGTCCAAACATTAGCGTCCTGCTGTCAGCTCGCGTCCCACCAGGCGTGACTCCTCGCCACCGCTTTGCAGTTCGTTTTTTCTTTTCTTTTTTTAACCTCCGTATGCTGCAAAGCAGAAACTGCTAATATCAGCTGACTTTGACGGCTCGCTACCCTCAGGCTGTTTCCTTTTTCATATTCACACTGGAGCAGTTTCAAGTTTGTGGATGGGAGCCATATTGTTTGTGTCTGTCTCGATTAGGTCGGCGTCCGTCAGGCCTCGAGAAGAAGTGCTGGCTTTAGCAAGTCCTAACTGCTGAGCTTTTTCCTGCCATTAGGATTATTATGTTATGGGCCATTTAAAGGCGTGGATCTATCCCACAGATAATTAGAGACATGAACCCTTTTATGGGTAAAATTAAGTTGTAGAGTGAGCAGGCGAGCCTTTGGTGTAGAACTTAATGCAGACTAAACAAGGCTGCTTAGCCACACTGAGTAATCCCTGAGCCTTTCATATCTGTCTTCTCTTCTCAGGACTAAAGCTCTTCCCTTCTTAGCTTTTCATTTGTGCTCATTTTCTTACTTTATTTTTTTTCTTCCTCTTCATCTTTTTCAATTTGCTGCTTTTTGCATTCCCTGCTTTTTATTACATTGCTCCCAAATGCCTCTTGCATTACTCCTCTATTTTCTCTTTCCCCCCTGCTGTGCTTTTCTTCTCTAATTCAATCAACCCCTCCTCTTCCACCTCCTTCCATCTCTTATATCACTAACCACTCTCATTCCCCTTATTTTTCTTCTGCTTCTTTTAAGGTAACGTGCTGAGCCACCTGAGTCACTCGTTCTTCACGCAGAGCTTCCTGGGCAGCAAGGAGCACGGCGGCTTCCTTTACATCAGCCCTTCCTTCCAGTCGCTGCAGGACCTGCTCCTGCCCAATCCGCCCTACCTCTTCGGGATCCTCATCCAGAAATGGGAGACGCCCTGGGCCAAGGTCTTCCCCATCCGCCTCATGCTGCGGCTGGGAGCAGAGTACCGATGTGAGTTGAGAAGAATACGAGGCTCCGTACTGTGCCGTCACGGTGATTAAGAAGTAATAATGATGTGATTATTTTGCTTTAATGGCACTCAGACATGTTGCTAAAGAGCTGAAGTTCTCATTTAGTTTGATATGCAAAGAAAATGAAGCTGAGCAGTTTAAAAGCACAGACAAAACAATCCCAGATGTTGGATTTGATTTACAAATCTGCCCTTACACTTTGTGCACATTTGGTTTACCCACAAAACCTGTTCGTCACTATTTTTACCAGATTTTTTTTTCTTTACGGTGTGGACAGACTACCTCGGATGATGCATATGCACAAATGATAAAGGTGCGTGCGTTTTCGGTGTCTGACGTGAAAGAACGGTGGACATATCTATGGCTTTTCCTCCAAACATTGGTCCTGTGTGGCACAGTGAGTGAGGCTCAAAGTGTAGCCAGAAATTAAGGAGGGCTGTGTCACAATATGACCCCTGCTGCCACATCTGGTCACTAACCAACCAAATACCTTGACGATTAATGCAAAAACAAACTGAATATATAGAAGCAAAAGATTCAAAACAAAAAGTTGTTAGAATAAGAAAATTGGGCTGTTTCGGCAGCAGGAGCTTGTTTGTAAGGATGCGTTCTCCAGCTGTTGTCTTGAACCATCCCAGGAGGGCATAGTATGGAGAATAGTGGCAGTCGCACTTTTCGGCTTCAACTCAGCAGGTATCATCAACGTTCAGTCAACACACATCAAAGTTTTTACCGAAATTTATTAGATCCACACAGGCTAATGTGCTGTGAACTTATAAATCTCTTAAAATCACAGAGATGACTTAAATGCTTTTTTGTTAACTAAAGGCAAATAAAACACTATTGTTTTAGTTTTCCAAGGCATAACATTTTTTTCTTGACTTCTCTCAAACATCTTCACTAGTTTCTTAATAATACACCTGTTTCCCTATTGGAGTTTCTCAATCGGCGTTATCCACACATACAACACCCGGTTGCCAGGGAAAAGTGAATTGCTCATATTACTTCCTGTTTAACAGACATTTCTGCACACAGTAGCGATGATGTCATGTTTCTGATGTAGGTTGCAATCACTTTGGGACTGATTTAATCTGGTATGAATTCATTTTGTAGTGTTGCTGTTAGTTGTCTGGGTACATCACTTCAGTTATGTTTGGTTTTTTTTTGCTGTACTTCACAACCACAGTCACCTCAAGGTGCTTTCTAATATAGAGAGAAGGATGATCCCTGTAAGAGCAGAACTTGGCTATGGTGGGAAGGAAGGAGTCTGTTTTAGGAGGCTTCAGAAATTTGAATTCTGGACTGAAGTGAAGTGGAGACGCAGCAGATGTTTGTAGGATTAAGTTAAAATGAGCTGAGGTTACTCCAAAAAACGTTGCTCCTATTTCAAGCTTAGACAGCACTGAGGTCCCTGGGAACATTAAGTGTGTGAGTATCCTGTAATGGTCTGTTGGGTAAAATATAAAGATCTAGAGAACTTAGTATGTCAGCTGACTTCATATCATGGCTTCCCACATGAAGGAGGGATTTAACGGCGACGCTGCTTTCACCAAATCTTCTTCTCTCACAGCCAGACCTGCCAGTGCCGAGCACCGCCCGCTCGGCTCTGTGAAGCGCCTTGTCTACATCCAGCGAGCACGGATAGAATACATTAACAAAGCCGCACACAGTCGAAGCTCTTAAACACAAAACAGTTGCGCGGCCATGAAATCAGCCCACCACACAAACGGCGCTCTTCTCCACGCTCTCACCTCTTACCTCCGGCGCTGACCAGCAGAAGGCCGAGAGACTCGTCAGCACGAAGTGCAGATTGAGGCTGAGCTTTATTTCTTTCTTTGCTAATGAGAGTTTATACTGAGATCTCTTTTTCCCCGGCTGTTTGCAGTGATAAGGCTAAAAATAGTCATCTAAGAGGCTTTAGTCGCTGAAGGAAAAAAAGCAGCTGCTGTATTTTTTATTTATTTATTTTTTCACTTGTGGATTAGGAGTTCACTGTGTGTGATGCGTGGGGTCTCTTGTTCTGCTCATTTGCATTTATGGATGAAGAGGTGGAAAAAAAGAAGTTGTGTAACATTGAAATACCTGGAAAAAACCTACAGACCACAAAGCCCCAGAGCACTAATGAAATAAAGAAGCAGCGATTTTCTGCTGCTTGCTAATTCATAAGAAGTCGTCACAGCAGGGGAGCCACGTGTTTGATTTGGCAGCTTTTTGCGCAAGATTTCTGACACAATTCCAGAGGGATTTCTGTCTTCTGTCTCCTCTGAGTTCTTTCACTTTTTAGGGGATTGTGTAATGAAATCAGCTGTGAAATTGTTTTGAAAATAGCAAAAAATATAAGTCCATGAAACCAAATTTGTGGAAGAGGAAGATTCTCCTGTAATCACCAGTAATTATTGTGTTCTGCAGTTTATCCGTGCCCGCTGTTCAGCGTTCGCTTCAGAAAACCGCTCTTTGGAGAGACCGGTCACACCATCATGAACCTGCTGGCGGTAAGTGCTTTGTTTTTCTCACTTTTTAATCATTTTAAAGGTTAGAGAGCCCCCTGCTATATGCTGGGTATGTAAACAGGAATGTAACGATTCAAGTGATTTGTTTGTTATGATGTTCATTTCAGTTAAACTGCACACATCTTTATATCTTTCTTTTTTTTTCACTGTCCCAGGACTTCCGTAACTACCAGTACACGCTGCCGGTGGTCAAAGGTCTGGTTGTGGACATGGAGGTGAGAAAGACGAGCATCAAGATCCCCAGCAATCGCTACAATGAGGTGAGCGCCCGTCCGGTTGTATTTATTTTCACACAATAATGATAGAGAAAATGATAAAGATTTCCACTTCGTAGTGCTGCTTTTTCACTCATTCTACACACTTCAATCGTGCAATGCAACCACAATGCTCTTCTTCACCAAATCTCTCTGTTCCTCACATGGTGCATGCATACATTTAAAAACAATCACCATTAACAGCAGGCTGGTGAGATGCATTAGCTAACTTCACAGTTAGAATACACTGAGGAATATGGAAGCCTGTTTCTGCCAGCAGAAAAAGAAATGCAATTCATAAGCTAAAATTCCAGGTTATTATCTCAAAATTTTACGTTACTACCTCAAATCTCTGAAAGAAGCTTAAAAGTTAAGAAAATAACATGAAATTTTGACCTGCTATTTATTTATTTATTTATTTATTTACTGGCAGAAACAAACTTTCATAGAGCGAAACCCTAAAGGTGATAACGAGAAAAAGGTTCCTCTGGCCATCCAGCTTGTTAGTCTCTGCATGTGAGAAGATTAATGGTGTAAAAATTACATCTATACATTTAAAGTTAATGACCTGAAACCTTTGCTGTGTTTCAGCAGTGCTTCAAACTCAGGAACAGGGGACGTTGTTTGGGTATTTTTCTTACTTGGGATACTTTCTTCTTAATAATATAAACGTTTTAACTCTATTCATTTAGAACTGAGTGAATCACAAGCCTGGTGTTTAATTACATTGAAAGTCACATTTCAAAGGTCTCATACGTGTAGTCGCCTTGGTCATAATTCTTTGGTCCACCTACGATTGACGTTTGATTTACCACAACTAGAAATCAACATTATATTCAGGACATGTGTCCTGAGATTTTATTGGAAACATTCACTGCCTCTCCTCTAAGTTGCATAAACTTTGGTTGCGTAGTTTTTGTGTAATCTCTGACAGTCAGTCAGATGGACTCACAGCTGCCTGTATACATTTGTTATATGGAGTCTTTAGTTTCAGTCTTTCTCAGTGTGGTCACATTTCTTTAATCAGCATGAAAGAAGATTTAGTGCACGTGTTTTTATTTAAAACTGGGATTTGTTCACCTGTTCTGAACTCGTTATATCGTCCTGATAAACACCATCCAAATTCTAATGAATAAAAAGACTAAAATTACAAAATGAAATAAAATTACAGAAATTATAAAAGAATGTTATAACTCTGGCTTGCACCCCACCTCTGTGATGGATCTCTGTTTTTTGAGTGTTTGTCTTTATAAAATGAATAGAAAGTAAAATTCTCGCATTAAACATTAAAAACAAATTCCAGAAAATGAAGGAAAGCAGATTTTCCTCTTATATAATTCATATTTAAGCATTATTTTCAGGATCAGGCATCATTTTTCAATCTTCCAACATGCAGACTCCCTCCATCATACTAATGACATCAGTGAATGAGGCTGACTGTGTGTAGGTGCTGCGTGACAAATTCTCTGGAGTCCCTGCAGCTGAACATGAGGTGTGGGCTGCCCACGTGTTATAACGCTACTGCCTCGAGGGTGTGAATGAACGGCGTACCAGAAGAAGTGATACGCGTTTGGGTGAGAAATAAAGCCGCGGCGGAGAGTGCGGTGCCGGTTGTAGCGTTTGGCTGTCGATGCGGTAACAGATGGGAAGCCAGTAATGTGGAGCGGGCACTGTTGCTCAACAGCTTGCAGTCGAGCTTTTTTAGCGCAGCGAGTGGTTAAAACCCTCCAGATTTTCAGTTTTATTTCTACATTTTCAAAGGACGGCTTCAAAGAGAGGCAGAGGCAGGAGAGTTAGCAGAATTAATATGGGAGATCTTTTCGGCTGTTGATATCCACCCGTGACGTGTCCTTTTCCCACAGTCTGTCAGCGCCGTCCCGTTTAAACTGCGGACTTTACCCACAAGCCCACTGCAATTAGGCTTAACCAGGCAGCCTCTCTGCTCCACGCACACACAAAGGGCTACTTAATTAGTCATGCATATTATTTGTCCTTGCAGCTGATGAAGGCCATGAACAAGTCCAACGAACACGTGCTGGCCATGGGGGCGTGTTTCAACGACCGGGCCGACTCCCACTTGGTGTGCGTCCAGAACGATGACGGGAACTATCAGACGCAGGCCATCAGCATCCATCACCAGCCGCGCAAAGGTGCCGACTCAGAAACCGACTCGACCGTCACACTTGAGACCTCCTTTATCTGTGGCTCTTCTGGAAGGCTGCGATGCCTGAAAATCCTCCCCCTGACTGTTTGTCTCATCTGTTTGCCTGAAAGTAGCTCAGCCTCTTACTTGATCTCTTTGTTTGTTTCAGTTACTGGAGCCTGCTTCTTTGTGTTCAGTGGTGCTTTGAAAGCCTCGTCTGGCTTCTTAGCCAAGACCAGCATCGTAGAAGGTGAGAACAGCGTCAGCAAAGCTACACGTTGGCTGCAGAAATGTTGAAATTAGTCAAAAGAATTGTCACTAGAGTTAAAATAAATAAATAAAGTAAATAATCATGATCCTCAGTACTGAGTAAAGCAACTGAGCAGCTTTTTTCCTCCTATAGATGGCGTCATGATTCAGATCACAGCTGAGACGATGGACTCTCTACGTCAAGCCCTGAGGGACATGAAAGACTTCACCATCACGTGCGGTAAAGCTGACCAGGAGGAGAACCAGGAGGTCGTCCACATCCAGTGGACGGAGGATGATCACAACTTCAACAAAGGGTGAGATAGGGGGGAGGGAAGTCAGGAGGGGAAGGGGAGCTGGAAGAGATGCATTTATGTCACGGACAATTGAACTGATAGCTTCCCGGGCGCTGCATTTACTACTTTGCTATAAAAAGTCATTATGCACGCCGGGGGAAGCCCTGTGAGGGAGAATCTTAGCAGGGTGGAATGATGCGGTCTGACACGGCTGTGAGATCTGGACCGCTGCAATCAATTTTAGCACAGGATGATAAAATCTGCTCATTTAAAAGCGACTTCTCACCGTTCAGTCTAATTTAGGCCTGTCACCAGATACGATATGACTTCATTAAGAGGATATTTTCACTGTACAGAAGCTGTTTTAACCCTCAGCCACTGTCACACAATCAGAGTTGGTCTACAGTGTATATTACGCTCTTTTCTTTCATGTTTATTCATAAAATAGAACAGCCCACCAGAAGCCTATTGCTGCATAATTAAGGAATAGTTCAGGGTCACCTGATCCAGCATTGATCCAGTGACTGAAACGAGCTGTTTTAGCTCATCTCCCTCTAAGACAGCTTTTTTCTGATTGGCTGCCTCTCACAAACAGATGATCTGCGCAGCAGGTGGGCTGTATGGCTAAGATGACCATTTAACTACACATTCGTTCAACACTTAATTTTATACAGTTAAAGCCTTTCACTCAGGGCTGTTTACAGTTAACAGATAACCTAACATGTGTTTCTTTGGACTGTGAGAGGAAGCTGGAATAGGGCTGTTCGATATAACGATATATATCGGATGACGATATAAAAACGTCTATCGTTTCATTTTACGCTATCGTTTGTTTCGTGGAGTCGCAAAATAAACTTTTTACGGCAATATTTTTTCATCGTTTTGATGGTCACTGTAGTGGTTATATTAATTTCTTAAAGTTCTCTCTTTCTCTTATATTTAATATAACCACACTACAGACAGACAAGCGCCTGTTTTCATGCATTGTCGTTAGCAACAACGACGGTAACACCATCGCGTGTCCGCTTGTTTATGTTCCACATAAACCTTTCACAATAAAGCTCAAGATCCTGTTGAGACTTTTCAAAATAAACTGAATCACTTGAAAGAGCAGATTATTTACGCATGAGAAGCAAAAAAGAGCCGCCAGGTGCTAAAAAATAAACCTTAGACTCAAATGTTAGAACAGGCTTTTCCCCGCAGCACGCCGTGTAATTAATACTCACAAAGAAAACGGCGGCTGTTACAACTTATGACTAAAAATGTATCGTTTCATACATCGGTTAAAACACTCGACTCCAGCTACATGACGCGCAGCTGGAAACACTTCCCACAAGTCGAGATTCACAGAATTTACAGAAAATGTTACATTTTTGTGATTTATATCGTTATCGGAAGATAGAATTCTTATATCGGGATATGAGATTTTGGTCATATCGCACAGCCTAAGCTGGAATACCCAGAAGGAAGCCATGCAAACTCCACACAGAAGGAGCCCAACCAGGGTTCAAAGTTCAAGGCACCTCAGTATCAACTAAGGAAAAACAGCCTTAAATGGAGCGTTTAGAGCAGCATGACCTTTAAAGGCGTCCACACAGTGGAATAACTTAATGGTGCAAGGCAGCGAGGTCTCGTTTAACATTTGCCCAGCAACCGTTAAAAAACAAACTGGTGTTCGCTAACACAGAGGGCAAAAAAACCTGCAATTTTAAAAATCAAAAACAAACCAACAAAAAAAATGAGCTGGCTTCGGCCTCTGCTTCATGCTTTGATGTTGGTGTTTTTGCTGCTTCAGCCGAGCAGCTGGCAGGTCAGCGCTTTGCTCAAGGGCAAAGGGCTCAGATGCTGCAGAAGCAGTTTATTTGGGTCTCCCACAAAGAATCAGCTTTTGCTTACTCGCGCGCTTCATTTGTAAGTTGTCTTTTGTGTGTTTGTTCAGCGTCATCAGCCCAATCGACGGGAAGTCCATGGAGTCCATACCCAGTGTCAAGATCTTCCACGGCTCCGAGTTCAGAGCCAACGGCAAAGTCATCCGCTGGACCGAGGTACAGTCTGCTCATTTTACCGAGCGCCAGTGAGGAAATCAGGCCACCACTGAAGCCTCTCAGGACAGACAGCTTAAACTGTTTTAACCTTCATCCCGCGAGGCTGCAGCTCCATTAACTCAGGCTAAAGTAAACTCTGATGACACACGCCAGCACGCCATGATAATTTCTCCTCATATACAGTAGGAAGATGAGAGGATTTAACATATTGTGTTGATACAAGTTCAAGGATTGTTTTATTTAGAGAAAGAGTTGAGTGCAGATTTAAGACCCTGTTTTTGTGCTCAGGAGGTTGGAAAAAAAAGAGGTCAGTTTATCTCAAAAGTCTGAGTCAGCTTCCTCTGCTCCTCACGGACCCTCGACTTTCTGTTCTAACCCAATCTCCTCATTATCACATATTACAAACAACCCCAAAAATATATGTATCTGTTTTCAAGTCTGCTGGTCTTATTATAAAGTTGTTTTTCTGTGCTGCTCTCAGGTGTTCTTCCTCCAGAGCGAAGACCAAACCAGTGTTCTGAGCGACCCGGCCGACCACAGCCGCCTCACGGAGAACGTGGCGAGAGCGTTCTGTATGGCTCTGTGTCCACACCTGAAGCTGCTGAAGGAGGACGGCATGGCCAAACTGGGACTGAGGGTCACTCTGGACTCTGACCAGGTAGGACTCTGAGAAGGTTTGTTTATTGATGTAGACCCTGATGTGTAAACAGACCTTTGCATCAACAACGGAACGAATCCTTCTAAAGACTGAACCCTGCCACAGTCCACATTATTTTTCAAACTGCTCATAAATCTGCAGAAAACCATCAGAAATCTGCCCGATGTGCCAGTTTACACTAGATCTTTGGTATGACTTCACCCTTTCATTCTCCGCAGGTGGGTTATCTGGTCGGAAGCAACGGCCAGCCTCTCCTGCCTCAGTACCTGAGCGACCTGGACAGCGCTCTGATCCCCGTCATTCACGGCGGGGCGTGTCAACTGAGCGAGGGCCCGGTGGTCATGGAGCTGATCTTCTACATCCTGGAGATCATCTCTTAGGAACTTCAGACATCCCACCAACCTGCACCCCTTCTCACCTCCAAACTTCTTCTTCTTCTTTTTTTTTGACATCATCTCCCTTCGGCCGTTTGCACTTCAAAAGAGCCCGAAAACTGTGCCGTGCCCGGCAGGGTAGCATTCCTCAAGCCAAACCTATGCATCCACCCACGGTCTGAGGAAGCTCTGAATAGGATCACCTGTCACCTCAGTCAGGATGTCTCCACAGATCACACTGTGTCCGTCCTGATACCCACACTTTTGCTGCCTCTGAGAAGCTGCCACGCGACGAGCGTCAGGCGGCCGATATTGTGCAGTTTGTCCTCAGATAGCGAACGCATCCAGGAAGGGATGAAGGCACTAAGTAAAACTTATCTCATTCGGAGTTTAAGTAAGAAGAGTGTTTATTACAATGAAAGGGTCACAGGGTGTTTAGCCTTGTTATAAATTAGTAAACCAGTGCCATTAGAATCGTGTCTGTGAACCTAAAAGCTGAGCGTGATGAATTGTGGGATTTATTAAGCCTCTCAACTTTTCTCTTAAATGCAGTTTTAGCTTCATGATTTTAGACAAATGAGTGAATTATGAAATGAGTAAAACCAGGGTGTGTGTGAATAGGATGATGAATTATTCTGTCTATTATCAGAGGAGCTGTAGAATTAACAATCAACTCCATCTATTTCCTGGTTTAAGAGCTGCAGAGTTTTTAAGGAGAAAGCACTCTCTCCTTTCTACCAAACGCAAACCCGTAGTGATCAGTGACGTCTCTGTAATTGCAGCCGTCCTCACAGGTCAGGACACCCTGAGCTCTCGCGCATTTTGACAAAGAGACACATTATTCCCTAAAGGTCGCCTTAACACTGTGAGAGTAAAGCTGAAAAGGCCGTGGCTGCACAAATACAAACTAATCAACCAGAAGTAGTGACTAAATCACGAGCAGAACTGTGACAGATAGGACCTCTCCTGCAGTGACACACAGCCTTCAATCAATCAAATGCTATGGGAGAATGGAGGATAATACAGCCTTTAATACCAATTGAAAGAGCCATGAGTTTTGCTTAAACGTGCTGCAGTTCTGCCCTTTGGTACATAAAGCAGCACTCCAGAGCTCAAAATATCAGTTGGGGCCAAATAGTTAATTTTGGTCTCTAAACACAAAAGAAATCAAATAAACTACAACAGCGGTTCCATCTTATAATCTAACCTGCAGATATGTTTTGACCCGTTAGACTTAACACTATTTTATTAAAATCTGCTAGTTATGATCTGGTCATCATATGTGAATCATATTGCGATGCACGACATGACACTGGTGATTGAGCACAAAAAGTCACCAGGAAGGTGTTCGCTGAGGTCGCGAAGAATGAGCCAAGAGCCAAGCAAGTTTTTTCTTACAGCCACAGGACTCGCCCCCTGGTGGCCATTACAAAAAATGCACCTGCACAGCGATGGAAACTACATTCATGGCTCCTGCTCAGATGCTCCTTAAGTGTGGGTATCGGGACTGACCTCCTGCTTCCTGATCGCACATCACTGTGGCAGCCGGAGGTCCTGAAGCATTGAATTCTGAAACCTGCCTCTGTGTAGCACGGATGCTGGTGCAAGGGAGAGTCATATCCGTTACTGAAAAGTTTGGACTATTTCTGTTTCAAAACAGTACTAATCATCGTGGAAGGAGGTGGTGATTTCTTTCCCTTTTTTTTTTTTTTTTTTTTTTTTTTGCACAGTGGTGCTCAGTGCCTGCAGTAGTGTTTCATCAAGGGAGAAAAGGAAAACCATTTCAGATTCACTTCAGAAGCTTTACTCATCAGTCACCAGATGCTTTACTTCACTCGTTGTACATACTTTTGTAGGCAGGACGATTTCTCCTTGATCACGCCTGAAACATCTGTAGCCTCCAGAGATCCCAGTATTATCGTTCAGACAGCTGATTTAAATAAAGGTTCCGATGCTTTATCGATAATCAATCTGTACATAAATGTGCGGGAGGGTGGGGTGGGGGGAGAGAGTCAGTTTTTAATCTCATCAGTCATTCAGTGTTGGTTCAGCAGAGGTCGAAAAAATCTTCACCTCATTTTTGTCTTTTTAATCATAACGAGAATAACTTATATATATATATATATATATATAATATTATTATATATAAATAAACTGTATTACCTTGCAGATGCAGTGCACTGGATTTAAGCCATTTACAGGAGAGTTAAAGTGAGCATCAGGGTGTCCTGGAGGTAAGAGGTCAGTATTTGTCGAGACTTAAATGACCCGAAGCTGAATGTATCTCATCTCAAGTTGTCTGCATCCTTCCAAACCTCGAAGTCAAGACTTCTCTAAACACCCTGAACCTCTGAGGTGTTTTCTAAAATCAGGCACGTTGGAGGTTCACCGTCTGATCTGGACTCTGCTCTCCTTCAACAACATGGACCTGGACAAGAAGTCTAAGAATGTATTCCTCATGTTTCTGTTTAAATCTGCAAAATGTGCTCGTTTCTGACGAGACTGATCACAAAAACGGAAGAAAAAAAGCCCCACCCTGCTGTGTTTAAAAAGCTCTGTACAGTAACCATTCTGCATTATGCTAATTTCTCCATTGTTAATTGTGCTGATGTAAAACAATCTCGAGTGAGAATCAGACAATCAGAGGAAAATCTGCAGAAGAGCCGACGCTTGAAGTTTAAATCTGACCTGTAGCCGCTCTGCATTCATTTATTAATCAGAATCTTTTAGGAGCTACTGTAGCAAAGTAACGTTTAGTTTAAAAGGAAAAAAAAAGGTCAAAGTTCACCACTTCTGGGTTATTTTACTGTGATCATACCAGAAGCAGTGGGGTTCAATCACTGTGTTTCTTAAAAAAAATTAAATAAATTAGCATAATGAAAAGGGGAGCACGAGGATCTATTTTTCTGACTCGCTCTTTTGTTACTGTTTAATTCTTTTTTTCCTTTTTGCATTATCTGAAGTGTGCAATATGCCCGAAATCCAAAAAAAGAAGAAAAAAAAGGTGCAATTTGTTTAAAAAAGTAGCATTTGTTTTGTATTAAGTTGTAAGATGTTACTGTTTAAACCTATAACACTGCATGCAAACAGAAATGAGCCGGAAAAGGCGACTGGAGCGAGTCAACTTTGCATTTCAACAGTCAGAAAATTCTCCACAAAAATATGAACTTGTTCAGTTCTTTATTATTATTTTTTTTTAATAAATCAGTTTGAAAAGCCAAAAAGCCTGTTCATCTTTCCCCCTCCTTTGTCAAAAAATACTGTAGTATATGTAAAATAAAAACTTATAGAAAATTGAGACGAGTATTTGTTTGTTTGTTTTTTATGTTTGAAAAAACTTGACAGTACACATTTAAAACAGGATTTTTTTTTTTATTGGTTCGTTTTAGAGCAAGATCAGCAGATTCAGTCAAAAATCAAAGAACTGATTCTGTTAATTATGAAGCATTTTAGAAACCAAATCATGATCTGTGTGTACACCTATATGGTAAAAACTAAAACATTTTAATGGCTTCCACACAGGAAGCGATGACAGGCGACATAACGGTTGGTGAGGGTAAAGTGGGCGTATCCCGAGATGAGCTTTACTCAACTTCAATCAACTTCGGCCAATAAGAGCACAAGATACCGTTAATTGACATATCATAGTGCGGTAAATGCGTTAGAGGGTTACCTAGGCAACCGGGGTCTAGAAAGTCCACTAGCTACAAACCTTTTAGCTTCAAGGCTACGCGTGATGAGTGACATCGCTTCCTGCGTGGACCCAGCTTCAGTATTTTGATCAGTGTTTACTGTAAACTGAACTTTTTTCCTTTATACTAAAAATTCGGCGCAGATTTTAAAAAAGAAAATTAGAAGAAGCGGAAACTGAAATGTGTGACCATGGTAGTAATAATAATAATAATAATAATAATGATAATAATGACGCAGACAGTCTGAGGTACACCTGCTTGAGGTGGGATTTACGTCGTTGGCTCAGTTAAACTTGTATGGCTTCTTCTGCGGTTCATTTTTTAAAGGGTTAGTTCACTCAGTATTATTGGAAGCATTCGTTTTCTTGCCTCACTTGAATCGACATTAACCTCCTAATGAATTTAAGGCTGTCCAATTACCCATTTATGTACTACATGCAGATAGTTTGCTACAGCTCTTGGTACATTTCAGACACTACATGGATGTAACACAGCAACTGCACAGAAGTCTCTTTAGCTGCAAAATACTCCAAAACAGGGTTGCAAAGTAGAAACAAAGAGCTGAAAGACACTGCAGAGTTATGTGAAACGACTCCGTTTCAGTCATTTGAGGCATTTTAAGGCAGCTGGGAAAGACTCCGCTTAGAGCTTTATCTTAACTCGAACTCACCATGGCTATTCATTCAGTCAGCTGTTTCTGAATGACGAGAAAAAGTGCTTGGCTTGACGTGGTTTGGTAATTTGAGTGAACTGACCCTTTATTAAAACACTGAGAGGTTTCACTCCCAATATTCATTTTCACTGAGGTTTTACTCCCAATATTCAGTTTCCCTCACATGAGATGGTCCATAGATTTCAAAAGTAGTGACAAACATTCCTGTTGAGACTCTATGACAGCACATGAGGGCCATTTTAAATAAACAATGGAGCCAAATTTCCGACTTATTCTTTGAAACATTGCTCGACTTTGCAAGGCTGGTTTAACCTCATCGCACTGTACATAAATATGTGATTCGATTGGTGTTTGTTGAATAACAATGACGTTACAGAAACTGACATATTCTTGAAAACTAAAGTGAAAAAAAAATCCACCCTTAAAATTTCAAAATTTATTAAATTTTTCCCTGTGAACTCAAAACTTTAAAGTGGAGCTAGTGTGTTTTATCTTTTATTTCCTGTTTTATATATATGCTAGCCAAAGTTTCAAATAATCAGGGCAGTATACCTAAAACACAGAAACTTGAAGCTGGTGTATGCAAGGGGCAGCCAATCAGAAGGAAACTGACTTAATAAAGGGGGAGGAGCTAAAACAGCTTGTTTCAGACAGAATCGACTGGTGGGCGACACCTAAATAAATTATTCAGGAATTATTGTGAACTGTGGATTATGAAAACCACCCAGAATGGCCCCCATATGCTGTCAAAAGAATAAATCCAGAAGACTAGAGCTGCTTTTGCTTCAGGTTAGGTTAGCTGAGCATAATGACTGAGACAGCCAGTGGTGAGTCTTTTTAAAGGTTCTAAACTCCTTCTACAAAATGAGTGGGTAGAAATAAATATAAAATGTGTTCATCTGTGACCTTCAAAAACTAGTTGTATTTTTAAACAGGATTCAATTTGCAGCCCCCTTCCAGTTTTATGCAAAGCTAGGCTAAGCTTAGAGTTTCCTGACATTTAAATCTTTCTTTCTTTCTGTTCCTTTACACGATGCTTTTTAAAGTCGATCCTGTGTACTCTCCTCCTCACATGTGACATTATTCATCTCCAGTTTTTGTGCTATTCAGTGTAAACAAGTCAAATGCACCTAAAACGGCAGGCAGGTGAGTGTGCAGTTTAGTGACCACAATTAGAGGACTTGCAACGCATATGAAATGTGTGGTCTCTAAAATAACGATCGTACCTTGTGTAATCTGGTCATTTCTTGGCTTACTTTCCTGTTAAATAAACATGAGGTGGCTACTGCAATATCTGCCTGACGTTTTCACACCAAAGTCTGTGACAGACTGTGACTGAGCGGAAAATGTACTGAAAACTCCCAACAGCCCAGGCTGTAATTATATAATTTAAATGTATATATCGTAACAGATTTGGCAGCTAAAGGCAGCTTTCAAATACGCAGGATTTTACAGCAACTGTGATTACTTTGGTATTAGTGCATAGGTGCAGTTCTAGATACCACAAGGACTATTTACACATTCTTTGATATATTAACTAAAAGTTACGTCAGGCAGCAGGATCAGCTTAACTCAACACCGGCCCCCTTTGTCACTCGCAAAGGACACCATGCTGGACCCACACATCAGGAAACAGTTCAGGCAGCTGTGATCTTTGCCTGAGTGTTTTTCAATCTCAAAGAGAGGCCCCTCATCGCCTTCCGGTGGAGGCAGACACGAGGTTCACGTCTCCATAAGGCAGCTCCGTGTCTCCTGCTGAGTGAAGGGGAGCGTGTGTGTCGTGCAAATGTGCAAAAGATACTACAAGACCCGTGTAGGTCTGAGTCCAAACTGAACAACAGACCGTCTTCAGAACTTCCCAAACCACCTTCATCATCTCCTCCTCTTCTCCCTCTGAGTGTTTTTGATTGAGTTCCTCACATCTGCAGGGCAAAGACATCACCAGTATCAGTCAAGGAGGAATTAAACATAAAATAATCAAATACAACAAAACCGATCTGTAAATAACTAGATTTTAAGGATTTTATTTTATTTTTTGCTGAAGCTGTTTTCACAGATGCACTGCAGACATTAACTTTTCTAGCCATAACCTAAAAATCTTGGATGAGTTTGAATCCTGGTGACCTTGAGCTCAAAGTCAAGATTGGAGGTCAAGTGTTCTGAAAATCTTGTAAACGCAATAATTCAACGTAATACAATGTGATGTAGCATTCTGGGACTGATCCGATGGCTGTGTCTACTTTGAGGCTGAGGGGTTGCCAATTAAGTTTTTTTGTTTTTTCCCCCCCTTTTAGTAGCATTGAGCAACAATATTATAAAATATATCATAATTTCAGCAGCAAAACTATACAACCTAATGTCTGAGAGACATTGGTACTCTGGATGTTGGATCTTTTTTCTTCTAATTTTCTTGTACATTTTAAGGCATCCATCTGGGACAGGTGACCAAAAGAAATCAAAGCATCTAAAAAGTCTCTTCACCTACATTGTGATGGCAGGCTCATCTTCTAGCTATGATTGTGAATGTAAACCGTATAATTACCTTCTTCTTGCACTTCATCTTCAGTCTTGCAGTAACATCTAAACAAGAACCTACCAAAAAAAAAAAAAAACAGGTAAAGCTCTGAGAACATTTTACAAAACCACACACACCTGGCTACCAACATAACCTTGTGTGTCCATAATTTTAATATGAAACAAAACAAAACAAAAAACCCTTAAAAACAAACTAGTAAAATTAACTAAACAAGCAGAAAAAAGCCAAATAAACTATAAAAGCAAGCAAATTAAAGAAAGCCATTCTAAGTAAAGCTGAAGTCATTGAGGGTTGATCATATTCTAATTACTGAGCTTTTTCATATCTTTATATGTTACCTGCGACTGGTCGATCACCAGCCAGCGCTCCGTGCTCGTCTGCATGTCCTGACCGCTAAGAGGCTCCCGCAGTCTGACCTTCACTTCAATGCGACCCCCTGTGGGTTTCCGTCCGTCCATCACCTGGCACACGAAACACCGTGATCACATCCTAACCCTCTCAGACAAACGGCCTGCTGATTTCTGTCTTAACGAATTAACTTAAAAACACCACAGATCAATCTCCTTATCCTTTCAAACTGAATGTCATTCACCTCGACAATCTCCCTGATTTCACTGTGGGACTCCAGCTTGTCCAGCTTCAGCAGGGCTGTTCCGATCGGCTTGTCGCTCCGCAAGAAACCGCTGTGAGACGGCAGACACGGTTACACTGATGAGCCACAGCTAAGGACAGCGTTTATGAAATAAGAAAAATCAAGGTTTAACCTCTAAACATCCACCAAGTCATTGGCAACCCATTCAACATCCACTGAAATAGAAAACCTCTCTATAGAACAACTGTGATGCCAAAATAAACAAGACATCATTCAACATGTAGGATCATTTGGTTTCTGAACATCTGCTCATTCAGCATGTGTGTCATTTTTATTCTCTTTGTTAATCTGCACTTCTTCCTTCTAAAAGCTTTCTAAAAACTACCCTGATCTTAAGCCCACACAGCAAACACCAGCAGAGCCGGCTGACACATTTATATAATTACACTGTGATAAGAAACTAAACCTGACGACTCCCATCAGAGATTCTGGTTATTATGCGTTTCCACTTTCAGATCTTCTTTTTTGCAGCATATTCAAACATCACCAGTAATCCCTCACAGTAAACACCCACTAGCACGACTGATTTGACTAATTTCTCACATTTATCTGAAAGAAACAGGTACAATTACAGCCCTTCTTGTGGCAAAGTCCCATTGTTGTAACATGCTAATGACTAAAGAACCAGCAGCTGCTCGAAAAGTTCTCACAGCACATTTTAAATACTCACTACGTGTCGCATGCTGTCCGACCAGCAGCTCCTGGGACTCACCCTTTGTGCAGCAGCTCTAGTTTGAGGCCTTTA